ATTTTGTTGATTAATTAATATTATATAAAAATATGTTATGAACTATTATTAACTTGGCTTTTTTTCAATATACAGCCATTGGAGCGTTCTTCAGAGACCTAAGAACACTTGCATTCTAGGAAGAAGTTATCGAACAACTTCATGAGAACATTCCGATCATCCTGTGCAACCCAGAGAAGATATTTCCTCCAGCGTTTTTTGATGTTATGGAACACCTTGTAGTCCACCTTGCATACGAGGCACTGCTTCGTGGGCCTGTTCACAACGGATGGATGTATCCCTATGAGCACTCTATGAAATATTTGAAGAGAAAAACAAAAAATCTTGCAAAGGTGGAAGGTTCGATAATTGCTGGAAGTTTGACAGCAGAAACATCTCACTTCACATCATACTACTTTGCACCAACAGTACGTACCAGGAAAAGAGTTCCTAGAAGATATGATGATGGTGGTGTCGTGCCCACGTATCCAATAAAGGATGTTCCTGACATTTTCTGCCAAATTGGCTGGTTTGGTGGTAGATTGATAGAAATATGGTGGTCCAGTGAAGAGGATAAGCATAGTGTGTACACTTATATTCTGCTCAATTGTGAGCATGCAGTGATCATTCATTTGAAAGGTAAATATTGATGTGTATTTTAATTATATGAAGTGTTTTCAATTATATGAAGCGATATACATTTTTTGATTTGCAGGTCATTTGTAACACAAGTAGAAGAAGCAATACCTGGAATTTTCAGAACCGAACTAGAGCGACGGAAAGATCAACACTATGTCACGTGGTTAAAATCCCAGTTAACATATTTCACTCAAATATAAAGAAGATCCATATTATTGTTATGAAACATTTACGTTATAATTTTTGTAGGTGGAAGAAGACGATCCATATTATCCTGCATGGTTTCATAATTTGGTCAGAGGTTCCGTATCAAAAGTCACCACATCATCTATGTATTTAACACGAGGTTTTACCTTTCATACATACGACTATGGGAGTCGCCGGGCAACAAGTAACTACGAAATATGTGTGAAAGGCGAAACAGACTTTTATGGAATTTTGCAGGAGATTATTGAAATGGAATTTTCGGGGTTATTGAAGCTGAAATGTATCCTCTCCAAATGTGACTGGTTCGACCCTGTTGTGAACAGGGGTGTTTGCTTTAACAAATTTTGTGTTGTGGATGTCAACTCTGTAAGAAGATACAACAAATTCGAGCCTTTCATCTTAGCTTCCCAAGCCGAGCAAGTAAGCTTCATCCCATATCCTCGCCTTAGAAACTCGGGGATAACGTGGTTAGTTGTTATCAAGATTAAACCTCGTGGACGAATAATTTCCAGAGAAGAAGCACCTTTGCAAGAAGAGCCACCTATGCAAGTAGAAGTACCTGATCAAGAAACTGTTCAAATCCTACTTATTGATCCCAATAACCGTCAATATGAAAATCTTCCCGAAGATGTGATGGATGAAGCAATCAAAGACGAGTTTGATGTGAGTGATGATTCTTCTGATGTTGATGAGAACTTGAATAATTCTGAATGATGTTGTGTTTCTTATGTAATAATATATAACTATTATTCATTTGGGTTTTAAATGTTTGATTAAGAGTTTAGGGTTTAGAAAAATTGGATAAAGAGGATGAATGTGTAAAAGAGTTAAGAGAAGAATAAAAAGAAGAGATGACGTTGTAAGATAAGTAACTTTGGGGTTAAGGAATTTGATTTTTGGGGATTCATATTTTCCACGTAATGTCGACGTAAAAAAACGCGGGCCTGGTAATTTCGTCGTAAAGGAAGCCACGTAATGTCGATGTAAAAAAAAACACGGGCCTGGTACTTTCGTCTTAAACCAGGCCACACGTAAGAAAACGCGGGCCTGGTACTTTCGTCGTAATGTTACTTGCACTTTACGATGAAAGTCAGTTCTCTATAAAAACAAAAACGACGATGCATAGTTCATTCGTCCCTATTTCCTCTCCAACTCGATGTAAGTCTTTCTCTCTCTTTTTTTTTTCTAGTTTAGTTTAGGGAGTTAATTAGGTGAATAGTTTAGGTGATTAGCTTAGGGAATTAGTATAAGTGATTAGTTTACCTATTTTATTTACGATAATCAAGATGATGACATTTTTTAATTATATTGTAGATGGCTCCTAGAGTTAGACCAGTTGTCCATGCTACTTATGCTGAGCTGTTTGGCGATGGCATCAGTTCTACTGGACCATCTTCTTCCGCACCGTCCTCATCCGACGCTGTCCCTGATTCTCAGGTGTATTATCCGGGGAATGAGATTCCCTTTCAGATGCATCCACCTCCTGCTCCAGCACCCCCTCCTCCATATGAACCCGCTGATGCTGAGCAGCTTCATCCAGATTTGCGGGTACCTCCATCTTCACCTTACACCACATATACTGTGGGGATCTTTTTCGCCAACCGGGCCGAGAGGGGTTAGACCTTCTTGGTCTTGATCGACCGCGCGGCACCTTTTGGTAAGTTTTTTTTATACATTTTTATTAGATATTTATTAACAAATTGGTATTATTTTCAGGTTTGGAGGCAACAATCGTATCAGTCGGAGTGTTTTTGACACAATAAAAGGCTATTTTCTCCAGGTCCATCCAAACTGGACGATGACTCCACAACAGTTACGAGAACATGGTATAAAATGTTTGCGGTAAATAATTTTAAAATTATAATTATTAAATATTATTACATTATTTATTTTAGTATGGACTAAAAAGCTTTTTCAGCAAAAGTGGCACTGGAACATATCGCTCACCGAGAAGGTGAAGGCGGGATTTGAGAAAAAGGCAAAACTCAGTCTTGCCAACACCGTCTCGGATTGGAATTCCACGAGTATACAGCGGAGCCCACCGAGAACTCGAACTATGTATGGGATGGCCTCATCGCCTTTTGGAGCCATCCTGAGTCGGTCAAGAAGTCGGCCAAGTGCTCTACAAGGCGGAGAACGAAGGACAAACACAGTAACGACCCAATGCTTCATAGAACCGGCCAAAAATCGCACGCTGGGATCTGTTTGGATGCTGTAAGTTTAATTTTAAATGTTTAATTTAATTCTTTTAATTTATTTATTAACCAAATTTCTTTTTAAAATTTAATTTTTATTCTGTAGTACGAGAAGACTGGAGTTTTACCATCTTTGGGTGAACTTTTCAAGATGACTCACGCCACATCAGACGGAGTTTTTGTTGATCCAGCATCGGAGAAACTCTATAACGATGTGGCTACTAGGGATGAAGAGCGGGAGACACAGTTAACCTAAGAGGCTCCCGATGGATTACCAGTCAAATTGATTATGGAAGAAGTCGATCATATTTTCGAAGAAGTAAATTTTAAAATAAATTTTAATTTATTTATTTTCTTTTATATAATATAATTAAATATTTATAATGTATATATATATATATATATATATATATATTTGGTAAAGGTGGCTCCCAGGAAGAAGGAACAGGTCGTGGGAATAGGCTCGGTCAACGAAATCCCAAGAGCGACTTCGTCATATGTTTCGAGACGGGATGAGGAGACTTCTCAGATGCGGTCTCAAATGGATTCTCAGAAGGCTCGCTTGTATTCACTTGAGGATCTTCTTTACCTCTTTGCGGTGGGAAATCCAACTATGCTGCAAGCGTTGAATGCGAGACGAGTGGCTCTAGGGATGCCGCAAGATCCAACGACAGAAGGTGACACCGAGCACCGGCCATGACTACTTCGTCCCAAACAACGTTTAGTAGTTTTTTTTATTTTGTTTTGTTTCTGTAATATAAATTTAAATATTATTTTATGACTTTTATATTATGGTTTTTTAACAATTATAAGAATTAAATATTTCATTTTATAATTTGTATATTTATATTTCGAATATTTATCAATATAATATTTTATATAAATAAATATTATATGTTTATCAAAGTAAAGTCGATGTAAAGTATTACAAGGAATTTACATCAATAGACATGGTAATTCGTCGTAAAGTGTTACATCGAATTTACGTCGACGAAACGTAAATTCCTCGTAACATTTACATATGCGTAACAACTACTTTACGACGACGTGTAACGATGACTTTACGACGAATGGTAGAGGACTTTACATCGAATTGTAACGAATCGTTTACGATGAAACTCTTACTTGCTTTTTACGACGACACGCGTTCGTCGTAAATTGACAAGGAAATTTCGACGAATATCTCATTACGACGGGCGTTTAACAACGAAACGTTGTTCCTTGTAATTTCGTCGTAACACCTCTATTACAAGGACTTTACAAGGAATATCTCCCTCGTAAAAAAATGTTTTCTTGTAGTGTCTTTATTGAGTTTGTAAAGAAAAAGAAAGTCATGTAATTCACGATTTCTTAGTACACATATCGAAATAATATAGAGAAGAACTTAATCGGTATATAGAAGATGTCGATGTCGATCTTTAGAAAGAATGAATATTTTTGTAAAAAAGACGTAAACTTGTTTATATAAGATTAAGAAAATAAAATGAAATTCATATAAACTTCATGATAAAGTCAAAACAAATCACAATATGAATTTCTTTGTTATTTTAAAAAATTTATTGGTAAAAGATCATATTTATCTCAACATACATATTTATCTTAAACATTAATAATTTCCCCATATTATTATCCATTTTGAATTATATTTTAATTATTGATATATCTAATTTGGATAAAAATGTAAATTCACATTGAATAAGGTGTAGATTTCAAAACATAAAATAGAAGAGGTAGTTTTCAAATATCAAACTGATAATAGGGTAGTTTACAAATTATCCCTTATTAATTTTGTTTTGCTAAAAAGTTATATTTATGGTTTAAAAAATAAAGTTATACTACAAAATATATAAAAAAAAAAAGTTATGGGCCCCCTCCAACAATGGCCCTAGGCGAGTGCACTGGGGGAATTAGAGAATTAGGATTCCAAAACAAAAAAAAAACTTCTTCAACCCAAATTAATTGGAGACGATTTTGAATCCTTCTTGCAACCATAGTTTTCTCAGTTTTTTAATATTTGTTTCTGTACGGACAAAATGTTAATTTTCATCATATGCCAAATGTTGTAGCTTCAAATAAATCTAACAATCATCTCTATGCAAAATCAAAAGTTCCTTCAACTTAAATCTGAACAACCAACTGTGGTGTTATTATTATAAGCTTTTTGATTGCTTCAACTTGATCCCATATCCTTAGTTCTGCTCGAGCTGCATGTTTTGATGGTTGTTAGCCACTAAATATTCTGGGCTCGGATAAAAAGTAACCCGCCAGTCGTGTGGCATTACGTATTTTCTCCAGACATGCCGGTTTCTTATTTCATAGCCCTATAAACAAATACGAAACAGATTATGTAGTCAAATGCAAACTAATAAAAATTAAAATTAAAAGAAAAAAAGCTTGTGTACACAATATCTATCTAATTAAAACTGAAGTACCCATATGACTTCACCCTTAATTTTTTTCAGTATGTACCAACTTGTACCACTTCCTTTTATTAAAGTTTTTTTTTATTTAAATTTATCATTAGTTATCTATCTACCTAAATATTCAAATAATTATTTACTTATCATATTACTGATAATCTTATAAGCGTTCAAAGTTCGAGAATACAAAGCAACAGGATTCAATACTATGTATAATTAATATACAACAAAAAGCAAAATAACATACAATATAAATAATAATCCATGATGATATCATAATATTTATATACAATAAACATATACATAATGTTTTTAAAAGTTGAAACAAAAATCTACACGAATGTGTAGATCAAAATCTAGTATCTTTTTAAGTAGATAATTAAAAATAATACCTGCACTTCAACGATATATGAATCTCGTAGAGAATCCAATATAAGCTGGACATTACTTGTTAGTGCTTTAAGCTGATAAAGATACAAATGCAAAGGAACAATACATATAAGTACAAGGCAGAGAAAATTAAACAAAGTGTATGTGAAATATCAACGAAACCAACACGAAACAAAAACATAATTATATAATTTTTTACCTTATTGAAACCAGCGATAAACTCTATATGAACAAAGCCCTCATCATTCATGCGCTTGCGAAGGTATACATCGTTTGGTAAATTATCCTCGCTACAAAAGGATAAAAAAAAAAAATTTAAGGACATTTTCAAAGTGGTAAACAACAAAAATAATCTGTATTGAAGTGAAAAGGATAGTATTACCTAAAATAATATTGAACTTGATTCAGTATCTTGGTTTGAAGGGTAACTTCTTGAACTTGATTCAGTATCTTGGTTTTCAGGGGAGCTTTTTGAGATGGGACCAAGAAAGGAGGAGGCTCGATGGACGGCATGCCGTCAGGATTTTGAGATGGAAACAAAGCAGCATTAGGGTCGATGAAGGGAACAAGATGTGAATAATACATCATCGGTGGTGGCAAGTCTAAGAAGTGAAACATATGCGTTAGAAAAAACAAACAAAAATAAAATAAAAGGTTGATATTTTCAGTCTAACTTACCAGGAAACGGTATAGGATAAAAAAGCTGTTGAACTGGAATATGCTGAGCATAGATTGATGGTGGTGGCCTTACAAACGCTGGTGTACCTCCTCTTGGTGGAGGTGGGAATCCGCCTTGCTCATTAAAGTTTCCTTGAGGATTCCATTTCTGGTTCACATGTTCTTCATTCTGTCTGCCTCTGCCTCTGTGACTTTGATGAGGATGATAGCTAACATTTTGGTTCTTGTATGAATTCTGTTGGTTTTGGGTACTGACATGGGACCGTGGTGCAAACTCGTTCCCTTGGCTATGACCTCTAGGAGAAGTGTATGGTTGAACAACCATGCGTTGGGTAAAGGCAATAGCCTGTTCAATGAATTCTTGGTGCATTCGTTCTTTTTCAGCAAGAATGCTACTCCGCTGAAATCGAAAACAGAGAATCTACATTATTAAATCATTACATTAATACCGATTTCCGGTTTTAAGAATATGACAGATAAACTTGCAAATCACTGTATCTATTTATCAAAGGTTACACAAATCAAATCCTCTCAAACTTCGTAATCAAATACTTTTTATCTACTAGGTCAACTTCATATAACCTTTAGTTCCTTACTAGACAATCCAAAGCTACAAACCTAACTTCGTAGTCAAATACCAATTTATCATTAAGCTAAGCTCTACCAGCATAGTCATCAATCTAAGGCAAAGTCAGTCCAATAAAATCAGAAGTAGAAGCATAAGAAAAAGTGTTATCACTAATCAAACAAAACCCTAGTTGATTAATTCAAACCTGAGAGAAAAAAGAGACAGATGATGATGATCCGTCAAAGCCAAGACTTATTAACGAATCAGTGGAAGACTTGTTCCTAGCGTGTTTGTTTTCCGCATTACCCTCGAACTTCTCAGAGTAGTCTGATTTCTCCTTTGCCATGATCTTCGTGAAGAAGCAGAGGATACAATCTCACTGCAAAGAAAAGAAAAGAAAACTCTTAAGAGTAGGTAAAAGAGAGAATCAAAGAAACATCTGAGAAATTATGTAGGAAATTCCAATGCAAAATAGAAAAGAAACAGAGGAACCAACCAACAAATTTCTCAGAAGATGCAAACGATCAAACCAAAGATGAGACTTCCTCTTTTTTAGATTTTTGTTTTTTGTTTGATATATAACCTTTTGTACCGCGGAAAAGAAAATCATTATTTTATTCATAAAAAGAATTTCTTCAAATCATTTGAAAGGTAAAATGTTATTGACATCGTAGTGTTTAAACTTTAACTAGATTTTGATCAGTTCTTTAAAACTGACGGGTATATATATATTTTTTCTTTTTAAAAACCTTAATTGTTATAATTGTGTTTAATGTTAATTTAAATTTATATAATTTTGGTAACTATATTAAATATGCCAAGTTGCATAAATATATATTTGTGCCATATGACTTTCAAAAATTATTTTTAAACTTTATTCCTAAATTTTACAATATATTATATTCTTTTTAGTAGTAATTTAAAATAACAAAAACTTGACTCGGACTTGACCCAAAAATTAAAATCTTATATTATGTTAGATTTGACCTATATACTCGAACGGTTCTAGTGTTACATCCAAAAACCAATATTAAATCTAACCCGCAACGAAAACCAAACAATGTTTTTGAAAAAAGTTCGAAAAAATAATTTTTAATATATTCTGTTATATATCAATGGGTTAATATGGCTTTCAATAACTTTAAATAAATTCACATCCAAAAATATTTTATGATCGAATAACCTATTTAAAACCGATAAAATAAATGAATTTATATCAATATTTATTTCTAATAAAAGTTCACTTTAGCATGGGTATATTTTTCTTTTATATTTTTCTAAAATTTTCTATAAATAGAAAATTTTATGTATTTTTCTAATATTTTTTAAAATACAGTTTATATGTTTGTGATTATATTTATTCAAATTCTAGTTTAGAACTTTTGATAATTAATTGAATTTGTGTTGTTGGATAAACATATACTTGTGCCATAACTATTTTACACATTAATTTTGTACTTTAGTCATAAACAGTGCACTATAAGAAAACTAAAAATTTACTAGGAAATTTTACTAGGAAAATAATTCCTCGTAAATTTACTATGAACTTATTTCGGTTTTACGAGGAAACATGAGAAAACGTTTTTATCGTAAGACCGTAGTAAACTTACGAGGAAACTACATGGAAAAATACTATTTCCTCGTAAGCTCGTAGTAAATGCTTTCCTCGTAAAGTTCTAGTAAATCTTTACTACAAAATTAGGAGGAAATAATCTTTTACTTCAAATTAGCGAGGAACTTGATAGAAAATATCTAATTTAAATCTAAAACGTGTTTTGTACCTACTTTTCCTAGCAATTTCCTAGTAAATGCTCAGATTCAAAAATTTCTATAAGTACCACCATTTGTGATTCATTTCAAACACACCAAACAAAAAAAAAAATCAGCTTTAAGCTTGATCAAAGATAAAAAAATGTCTGGTCTGGCAAATATTTTCGAGTTGCGGAAGTGGATGTATTTACACAGAGATAATAACGGGAGAGTAACGAAAGAATATCTCGAAGGGTTGGAGACGTTTATGCATCAAGCAGATTCTACACCACTCACGCAGGAAAGTAGTAAGATGTTATGTCCTTGTCGAAAATGCTGCAATACAAAATTAGGCCCTCGTGAAAATGTTTGGAAGCATTTAATAAATTGAGGTTTCATGCCATATTATTATATTTGGTATCAACATGGAGAAGATGCTAGTTGTAGGAATGAAGGTAGCAGTAGTAATAGCAATTTCAGGTTGAACCGGTTGATCATTTGCGTAATGAAGATAGCTAGCATAACCAAGAGGAAAAAATGGTAGATTGTGATAGGGTTCATGATATGGTAGGTGATGCATTTGTAACTCATGATGATGATGAAGTTGAAGAACCTAACTTAGATGCAAAAAAGTTTTATGAAATGTTAGAAGCTGCGAATGAGCCAATTTACAGTGGTTGTAGAGAAGGTCTGTCTAAATTGTCATTGGCTGCTAGAATGATGAGTATTAAAACCGATCACAATCTACCTGAAAATTGTATGGATGCATGGGCAGACTTGTTTAAAGAGTATTTGCCAGAAGACAATGTGTCTGATGAATCTTATTATCAGATTCAGAAATTGGTATATAGTCTTGGGTTGCCCTTGGAGATGATAGACGTTTGCATCGACAACTGCATGATTTACTGGGGAGATGATGAGAAGTTAGAAGAATGACGATTTTGTAAGAAACCACGATTCAAACCGCAAGGTCGAGGGCGTAATAGGGTACCGTACCAAAGAATGTGGTACCTACCAATCATAGAAAGATTGAAAAGATTGTACCAACCTGAGGAGACTGCTGGAGGGATGAGATGGCACGCCGAGCATACTCAGACGGATGGAGAGATGACTCATCCATCAGATGCATGAGTCTGGAAACATTTTAACAATGTACATCCACATTTCGCTAGCAATAGCCGGAATGTGTATCTTGGATTATGCACTGATGGATTTAGTCCATTTGGAATGTCTGGGAGACAATATTCATTGTGGCCGGTCTTTCTTACACTGTACAACCTGCCACCGGAGATGTGCATGCGACGAGTGTTTCTATTCATGACCATATTAATACCTGGTCCAAAATATCCAAAAAGATCTCTCGACGTTTTTCTACAACCACTGATAAAAGAGTTGAAAGATTTGTGGTCAACAGGGGTGAGGACATATGATTGTTCAACGAAAACAAACTTTACGATGCGAGCGATGCTTTTGTAGACCATAAGTGACTTTCCTGCATATGGGAGGTTGTCTGGGTGGACTACACATGTGAGATTAGCTTGTCCATATTGTAATGGAATGACAGATGCGTTTCAGTTGAAGCATGGTAGGAAGACTAGTTGGTTCGATTGTCACCGTTGATTTCTTCTCGTTTACCACCCATACCAAAGAAACAAGAAATTGTTCAGGCACAAAAGGATTGTCAGAGAAACTCCTCCATATTTAACTGGAGAACAAATCGAAGCGCAAATCGATTACTACGGTGCTCTAGAAACAGCATCTCGTGGTGGGAATTGGCATGTTCCCAGTAATATGCCTGATTTTTATGGTGTTCAGCACAATTGGCACAAAAAGAATATATTTTGGGAATTGCCATATTGGAAAGATCTTCTTTTGCGCCACAACCTTGATGTGATGCATATAGAGAAGAAATTTTTTGAGAACATTATGAACAGTATATGGAATGTCCCAGGGAAGACGAAAGACAACGTAAAATCGAGGTTGGACTTACCCGATATCTGCTCAAGGAGTGAGCTACATATAAAAAGAAATGGGCAAGTTCCAGTTCCAATATTCAGATTGTCATCAGAAAAAAGTCTGCGTTGTTCAACTGAGTGGCTTCAGAAGTGAAGTTCTCTGATGGGTATGTTTAGAATCTCTCTAGATGTGTTGAGAAAGGGCAAAAGTTCTTCGGGATGAAGAGCCATGATTGTCATGTCTTTATGCAGCGACTACTTCCCTTTGCATTTGCGGAGCTACTACCGGCAAAAGTACATGAAGCACTTTCAGGTAATTAATTAATATAATACAATGATATGATTAATTTTTTTCTTTATATATATATATATATATATTATGTGGATAATTTTTGTTTTTGTAATATATAAGGAATTGGAGCATTTTTTAGGGATCTGAGCACCCGCACTCTTAAAGTGGAAGTTATCCAACAACTTCATGAAACCATCCCCGTCTTAATCTGCAACTTGGAGAAAATACTTCCGCCTACTTTTTTTGACGTCATGGAACACCTAGTTGTCCACCTCCCGTATGAGGCATTACTTCGTGAACCTGTGCATTATGGATGGATGTATCAGTATGAAAGGGCCATGAAAACTTTGAAAGGAAAAGCCAAAAACCTAGCAAGAGTTGAAGGTTCTATTGTTGCGGGAAATTTGACGGAAGAAACATCACATTTTACATCGTACTACTTTGCACCGAAAGTACGTACAAGGAAACGAGCTCCAAGAAGATATGATGATGGTGGTGTCGTGCCGACATATATGGAAGACGATGTTCCAGACATCTTTTGTCAAATTGAATGATTGGGTGGGAAATTGAAAGAGGTTTGTTGGTCGAGTGATGAAGACGTCCATAGTGCACACCTTTATATTCTTCTTAATTGCGAGCATCCATTGATTAGTTATTTTAAAAGGTAAATATATAAGCATACACACTTATATATATATATATATATATACTAGTAGTATCCTCGTGCTACGCACGAATCAAATGATTGTAGTTAAAGTTATTTGATGACAAAAATACAATTTCAGAATTAAATCAAAAGAAAATTATTATATTAATTAAATACTCTATAAATATGGATAACAATTGCATAAAATAATTGCATTCAAATGAAGAGGTTGTAAACCAAAAAATAGTTAAAATAGATATATGTTGAAAGTATTTTATGCTTAATATTTGAGATATATACAACAAATAAAAATATAGTTTAAAGTACTATATTTGATTCATTTTTTTTTGTAAATAAATCTTCCATTAAGTTATGCATTTTTATTTTAAAGACAACAAATAGAGTTATGACAGATTATGACAAAATATAACTGAAAATATAATACTTACTGTTTTTGATATTTTGAGACCTAACATAAAGTGTGAGGCCCAATAGAAAAATCAATTAGGAAAATGAATATCCATATTTAAATGCTACAATAACACAAAATGATTTTTTAGTGGCTACATTTTTTTCTTCTTTCATTATTCTATTTTTATTATTAAAGTAGAAAACATTTACGTGGAGCTTTGAAGAGAAAATGTATTTGGGAATGCAAATTCTATTTAAGTTATTTTTAAATGAATTGGGGTAATATTTTAAAAATACAGATTTTTGTTATTTGAAGTATTTCTTCAAACTCATGGGTGAACTCCTAACTTCAAAGTGTTCGCATTTTCTCCATCTGCAGTAAATACTAAATAGATAACATAATTTTTCTAAAGAAAAATCACAAAACAAATATTAAAATCAATTTAT